CTCCAAACCCATCTGACCGAACTCTGGACTTACTTGATTTTGAAAACAAACATGCTTTTTGCGATTGTTGCATATTAATAATAACTAGATTATCATTATAAGTTATTAGCTTACAATTTTTTATACATTTTTAAGGAGAGAATCATACCAAATTTTTATGAAAGCAAAAATTTGCAGTTATGTAAATTTTCCGAAAACTTTTCAGCGTAAAGATGATAAGTTTGTCAACATTCAACTTGCAAGTGGAAGCATCCTTACAGATTTCTATAAAAAAACTTTTCTAATACTGTATACGGCAAATGTACTCTAGCTGCTACCTTCAAGACAGCCGAGGTTGAATTTGTTCCTACAAGTTAATTAATTTAGCTGATGAAGTTTTATGACAGAAAGGTTATTCACATTATGTCAGATGGCAGGTAAATTATGCAAAAAATAAATAAATAACTGAAATACTTGAGCGTTTTTTCTAGACATTCTTTCTATTCCTATAAAAAAATCTCTTCTCTTAACATTGCTAGACAGACAAGCAACAGAAAGAACAGAAAATAAACCCGTCTTCTCACGGACAGCTGTAGTTTAGAGACAGTTAAGACATTCTTATTGTGTGTTTCCAAACGAAGGGCTTCAACAGAATTCGACTTGAAATAGTTCTGGCGCAACCAAACTTGGAACGCGACCAGATTCGGGATTTGTTTGGCCGACGTGTGAATCTCAACATTTGAACTATGTCGGGTGTAAACAAAAAGGTATGGGGGGGGGGGGGGGGGTTTACTCCCCTCAAAGCTGTGGAGGTTTGTGTGAGAGTGGACGTGTGAATGGGGTTGGGAATAGCCGTGGTTGTTGGTCCCGGGCAATCGTCTTGATGGCAAGAAGGTTTGGTCACTTAGATGTGTTAGGGCGATGACAAACAGCTCAACGGCCGGGCGATACTAGACGGGGTCATAGTTGCGTGTGTGGATATTATATATTGTAAGTAGCCGTTTCAGTCATGTGCTTCTAAACATACACATAAACCCATACACAACACAACACACACATATGTATATATATATATATATATATATATATATATATATATATATATATATATATATATATATATATATATATATATATATATATATGTGTGTGTGTGTGTGTGTGTGTGTGTGTGTATGTGTCGCGTGTGTTAGTATATATGTTGTGTGTGTATGTGTGTATTTTTGTGTGTATTTGATCGGTATGTTCTAATTTACTGTGTTTTACAGCTATTTTGCCCTGTAATCACAAATGGAAATTCTTCTAACAGTATTTTTTACTAACTTTATGATTAGCTGAGACCTCATTTTTTTTCGCTGTGCAATTTTTTTGAGATGTTTGTGTTCGAATCTCCTATCAAACTGCATAGTGAGTAAACACACACACACACACATTCACAAGTGACAGACACTGACACACGCACGGACACACTGACACACATACACACACACGCACTCAGGATAGGCATTCACTCACACATACACACGCATGGACTATCACAGACAGGGCAGGTATTCACACACGCATACACAGACACACACTCAAGTCATGCACACGAACATTTAAAATAGAATTGACTTTACAGCGTCAAGTCAGAGCATCCCAGTACAATTTTCCGATTCTATCGAACATCTTAAACAAATACCTTAATTAATAATTAATTACTATAAAACCAACACGTGCGCGGCTATTTTTAGCTTGATTCGCTACCCACAAATGACGGACATTCTCATTGAATGCTTCACGCTGTTTTTTAAATTGGTTTCCGTAGTATTTTCAAAAGCGCTTTATTTCTTCTCAATTAAAAAAAAAAATTTGATTGGATTGAAACTTACAATTAAAAAAATTAAATGTTTTTTGTTAATTGTTTTTGTTGTTGCTCCTGTGAGCTTAGTATGTGCATCCTACATTTTAGCAGACTTTTGAATCGTCGAATGTCATTTCCTTTAACACTCGTGGTCTGTCGTGTGGCTTGTCTGATGGATAAAAATATTTAGTAACCAGTCCATTGCAGAGGCGTAGGGAAGGGGGGGGGGGGGGGGGGGGGGGCAGGGGGAGATCACATGTCCCCGGGCGCCGACCTTGGGGGGGGGGGGGGCGCCAAAATGGGTTGGAAAAACAAATTGAAAGTTTGAGGGGGGTGCGCAAATCAAAAGTTCGAGGAGGGGGTGTGCAAATCGAAAGTTTGTCCCCGGGCGCCGGGAAGGGTCGCTACGCCTCTGGTCCATTGTCGTTCTTATGTGAAGATCAAATATATCGAAACAAATTAAATCATTGTGTTTTTTAAAAAGCAAATTTAAAAAAAAATGTATTGATACTTATCGACTTTTTTTTTTCTTGAGGGGAGAGGGAGAATAATAAGATACTGTTGTATTTGACCGTGCAATTGCCTGATGTTTCTTTAGTATTAAGTAATGATATATCGTTTTTAAATTAATTGTTTGAAATTCGATTGTCCAAATAATTATTATGTTGGGCATACACAGAATGTAGATATCAGAATAAGCAATTCCTAAGCAATTTTGGCCAGCATATTCTCCATGCACCTTATGCAATGTATAATCAAAATTAAGGATGCGACAGATCTCCTTTTTAGGGATACAAATTCACCCAACGCCGTATACAATGTAGGCCTTCCATTTAAATTACGGAATGCGACATGTCTTCTCTTTTTTTAGGTAAAGAAATTCACCCTACACCGTATTGAATGTAGGCTTCAAAAGTGATAATCCTACTCCGAATAGGATGTAGGCCTACAATTTAAATTACGGAATGTCACATGTCTACTTTTTTTAGGTCAAGAAATTCACCATTTACCGAATCGGATGTAACCATTGGAATGTCGAGTCCTACTTTTCGGGTAAATAAATCCACCTTACAACGCATCTCTTGTAAAACAAACACCGGCTTCTCTCCCTTGACTCAAGGTAAATTAAAACGGTCACCACCCGGTAACGAGTTTTACACGTCATTACTCAACCTGCTGGGTTTTTGTTTACCCGCCCGACAAGTACTCACTAGCACACGAACTCAGCATCTGATTATCTGTAGACTGCTCATTTAAAAAAAAATAATGATTTGATTGGTTAGCTCGTGGAAATGTTAATTACGTAATTAAAGTTTAAACGGTGCAATTATTTACGTACACTTCCTCTCAAGTGTCCGGTTTCAAATTTTCTACTTGGTGGGGTGGGGTTGATCAGTGCAGGTGGGTATGGGGTGGGGGTGTGGGTGGGGGTGGGGGGTATTAATAACTGAAGCCGGTTGTGATGAAGGTGCGACGGTAGGGTGTTGGCTGATGTTAGGGTCACATGGTGAGTATTGGTATCGGGTGTTGGAAGGGGTCTGATTATTAGTCAGGCTAAAGGGGTCGTTAGGGACCTGTTTTCAAGTCGGGAGTGACCCTAGGGTCAGATCGGCTTGAGGTTACACGTCGTTGCTTTAGTAAATAGTGACCCTGGGATCTCCTGTCGGGGGTGGGGGGGGGGGGGGAAGACACCCTAGGATCCCCTATCAGGAGCGACCCTGGGATCACCTGTCGGGGGGGGGGGGCTAGGATCCCCTATCAGGAGCGACCCTGGGATCACCTGTCGGGGGGGGGGGGGGCTAGGATCCCCTATCAGGAGCGACCCGGGGATCACCTGTCGGGGGGGGGGGGGCTAGGATCCCCTATCAGGAGCGACCCGGGGATCACCTGTCGGGGGGGGGGGGGGCTAGGATCCCCTATCAGGAGCGACCCTGGGATCGCATGTCGGGGGGGGGGGGGGCTAGGATCCCCTATCAGGAGCGACCCTGGGATCGCATGTCGGGGGGGGGGGGCTAGGATCCCCTATCAGGAGCGACCCTGGGATCGCATGTCGGGGGGGGGGGGCTAGGATCCCCTATCAGGAGCGACCCTGGGATCGCATGTCGGGGGGGGGGGGGGCTAGGATCCCCTATCAGGAGCGACCCTGGGATCAGCTGTCGGGGGGGGGGGGGCTAGGATCCCCTATCAGGAGCGACCCGGGGATCAGCTGTCGGGGGGGGGGCTAGGATCCCCTATCAGGAGCGACCCTGGGATCGCATGTCGGGGGGGGGGCTAGGATCCCCTATCAGGAGCGACCCTGGGATCGCCTGTAAAGAGCGACTCTAAAATCCGACATCCGACTTGAATCACTCGACCTCAGAGTTGTTAGTGCTAATTAAGTTTAAAGTGAAATATATCCAATTACCACAATTACTAGCGAAGATAATTAACGAGACTGGTGAAATTTCGATTTATTTAATTAAGTGACACCTGACAATTTAAAATTATATAACAGATTATCTAAGTTAATCTCCCTGTCCGTGATAAACGAGGCACCTCAGCTGTTGGGATATCCCAGAGTGCTTCAAAAATTGTGTGTGTGTGTGTGTGTCCGTGTTTCCGTGGGAAAAACGTGTGGTGTAGATATGTGTGTGGTATGGTAAAGTACGGGAGGGAGGTTGAATTATCTGTATGAAAACATGAAAGTCAAATATTATTTTTTTCCGGACGGTTGTTTGGATACGTCTGGAAAGTTCTACAGTTACCCATACGGAAACGTCGATTGTATGGTTAGGATAGAGATCCGGGTGTCGGGTTTAGCGCTAGTCTGTGTGTTTTTACACAAAATGTAACCTTACAGCGATTGGTTTAAAATCTATGTGAAATGTCAGTGCAGTTAATTCAGAGCTAGTTATGTAATGGTGACGAGTAATATTTGCGAAAGATATCGGCGAATAATATCGTTAAAAAGTATCGGATCATATTACCGAATAATGTGGAATTATATTGGTTTACATTCTTGATTTAATCCTTTTTAGTCCTTGTGGAGCATAGGGTCTCAACCATAACCTTCCAATGTCCAGTCCAATATGACCTCTGTCAAAACTTTCCCCAACCCCACGGTCGTCTGACAATCTTTTCAGCTGTTCGCAATTCCTTCCTATCTCTTTGGTCTCCTACAGCACGTTACGACGTCATGTCTCCCTGGGTCGACCCCTACGTCCACATGTCTCCCTGGGTCGACCCCTACGTCCACATGTCTCCCTGGGTCGACCCCTACGTCCACATGTCTCCCTGGGTCGACCCCTACGTCCACATGTCTCCCTGGGTCGACCCCTACGTCCATGTCTCCCTGGGTCGACCCCTACGTCCACATGTCTCCCTGGGTCGACCCCTACGTCGCCATGTCTCCCTGGGTCGACCCCTACGTCCATGTCTCCCTGGGTCGACCCCTACGTCCACATGTCTCCCTGGGTCGACCCCTACGTCCACATGTCTCCCTGGGTCGACCCCTACGTCCACATGTCTCCCTGGGTCGACCCCTACGTCCACATGTCTCCCTGGGTCGACCCCTACGTCCACATGTCTCCCTGGGTCGACCCCTACGTCCATGTCTCCCTGGGTCGACCCCTACGTCCACATGTCTCTCTGGGTCGACCCCTACGTCCACATGTCTCCCTGGGTCGACCCCTACGTCCACATGTCTCCCTGGGTCGACCCCTACGTCCACATGTCTCCCTGGGTCGACCCCTACGTCCATGTCTCACTGGGTTGACCCCTACGTCCACATGTCTCCCTGGGTCGACCCCTACGTCCATGTCTCCCTGGGTCGACCCCTACGTCCACATGTCTCCCTGGGTCGACCCCTACGTCGCTTACCCTGGGGATTCCACCCCAGGGCCTGTCTGGCTCTATTACCAGCGTCCTTTCAAAGCGTATAGCCATGACATATTGTTCTATTTTTTGAAAGGCAGTAATCAAACGCAAGTATACTATCAATACCTAATTTATTGGGTTTGAAAAGTTAGGCTTAGATTACAGCACATCTTCAAGTATGATGGGCTTTTAATCACCCATCTCATAATGAAAAAAAATATGCTGTCATTTTATACGCGATGTTTTTCTTTTTAACTTTAAAAACGACTTTTTGTATTTAAAAGGGGAGAGTCAACCGGACTAAGGGAGAGAAATAAAACAATTCTTATAAAAAAAAACTATTAGACGTTCTAATACGATTTGAATTTTTTAGAAAATTTAAGTACTTCCAGTTTAAACATTTCTAAAATTTTTCAAATGTTGCCACAATGAAAATCTGGTAGTTTCAGCCAAATGTATGTGTGTATGTATACTATTTTTATTTTTTTTGGCGAATGTATGGTCAATTCTCCGTTTTCTTGGTGACCCTTGCCCCTTTATCTTTTGAATAAAAGAAATTTTTATAAAAAATAATCCACACAAATCCACACAAATAGAATGTACTTAAAAACTCAGTATTAAAAAGACCAAGTCCTTTGAACATAACAGAGTTCATCCAGCTGTTAATAATAGCTGGGTTCAATTTGGGGAAATCAATGAAGCTGACCACACAAGCCCTTCGTATACACCATCTTCCCCTTACACCGTCTAGTTTGACCGAAATTCTTTTTTTTCTTTTTGGATAACCATATCAAATACACATTTACATGAAATAAATCTAAAGTTTATCTAGTCACTTGTACTTAAAACCAACCTTATTTTACACCTTGTTTTTTTTAATATAGGTAGCTCCTGGAAAATAATTTACCCAAACATTTTGTTGATCAGGTTGTCGGGTTGAAACATTTTTTAGATAACGAGGGTAAATAAGGGGGAGGCCACCGGTGTATAACATGGGCTTGTAGATGGGTGTTGTTTGCTCTTGGTTTGATAAGGGGAGGTAATGGGACTATCCTAGAGTGCCTTGTTGATATAACTGGTGTTCGATTTCAAAGGGCATTCAGTGCTATAGTAACTATAAAATAGACGCACGTACGAACGCACACACACACACACACACACACACACACACACATATTATATATATATATATATATATATATATATATATATATATATATATATATATATATATATATATATATATATATATATATTATATAATATTAAATATATACGCATACATATATCAAAATGTATATTGCTATATATAGATGTATCCTTATACAGATACACATTATAAAAAGGCCAATAGACATACCTACACACATATTTATACATATTTAATATTTATAAATAAGAATATATATGTATATATATATATATATACATTATTTTTTTATAGATTTATACACACATATATAATATATATATATATATATATATATATATTATATATATATATATATATATAATATGTATACATAAACCAAATTATTCTTGTGTAAACAAAAGGTTGTTTGTTCAATATATAAATGCCTTAGTTGCTAAAGAAACATCATTAAATCTTTCTCGGCTGTAACTGTACTTTACTGAAGGATACTTGAGATGTAATAAACTTTATTTAAGTATCAACCATTAACCCGTTGAAAGCCCAGTCTTTCATCTGTGTATGCTCTCTGTTTGATAAAAAACGAGGAGCAATTAAATTTTAAGAGCTCTTGCATGCCGATTGGTGTATGTGTTGATGCACATCTTGATTTTATGAGTGGTTCTAATGGTGTTGTGTTTGGCTTTCTGTTTAGTTGTTTACCCTCTGGCAGTGTGTGGTATTTCCAAGCCTATCTTGTTATGCGTGATATACCCAAACCTTTCAGAGTTTCTTTCAGGCTTTCTCAATTTCTCCCCCCCCCCCCCCCTCCCTTGGATGAAATGAAGAAAGATTAATTATATAGAAAATATACACTTTAAACAGCAATCTTCATCCCCATCGCCCCCCCCCACGTGAAATTTCAAGTGCAACCTCACCTAAATTTGACAGTTCTTCCACAGAGGAAAATATGCAAAAGAAACCCTTAATCCTATCTTGCACATTCTTCTGGTTACTTAAGCCTTAAGCCATTTATAGTTAGATTGTAAACATTGAGTTTACTTACTAATGTAAGTGAATTAGCTACTATTGTATAAACATATTATTAGTTACTAGTAGAATGTAACGTAGCTCCATACGTTTTAATCCTGTCATGTTAAAGATATTTTCGTATATTCTTAATATCCTGTTCCTTATTAAACATTAAAATAACGTTTTAAAACTTGCTTTAGGTTTTAGAACCTACTTTGTTTACATTTTAGAATCTACATTATTTACATTTTAACAAAAAGATAAGCCACGTAAATTGTCTTGACAAATTTTAGTAACAAAATCAATTTTTAAACATACAATCTGGAAACTATATATTCAAAACGAGTTTTGACACCCCCTAAATATTACATAAGAATGATGGCATTGTTTTAAAAAATTACCGTAAAAATTTCAGGTTGATAAATTTTTTATACTAATATTTGAACAATCAAACTCGCGATAATCTTCATTCCACATCAATCTGTTCTGATCAGTAATCACTTCGTGTTATACACACGCGTAATTTTGCGTTGTATTCTATTCTATTTGATTTCCTGTATTGTCTCAGACATTGCCAGACGTTTAATGCCGATATAAAAGCAGGTAGTTATTGTACATGGCATTTTTCTGGCATCAGTCACAGTTACTTTACCCTTACCACATGACGTTTACTGTATTCATTAACACTAGTAATAAATAACTGATGAGAGACTCTAGCATAGGATGGGTTGGGGGTGGGTGGCTTTGTAAGTGATGTAGTTTTTTTAGCAGAGGAAGGAGGTCTTTTGTATGTCAAGATGTAATACGGGAGATAAAAACCGACGGTGTTTTTCTTGTGTATATTAGCATCTTTTCGTGCCCAGACATATGAAGTAGGGCCGATGAAGTAAAGTTTATCTGTTTCAACGACCTTAGCATACGGAAGGGTGGTCAGAACTATGTCCAGTCATCTTGGCGACCTAACGTGAGTCAGGTACTCATCAGAGCTGGGTGGGCTCAGGGATATCCTACAGACTCGAGCCCGGGATCCAAACTCGATACTTTAATGTTAGCTGTAGTGAGCTCTACCGTCCGACCGCGCCACCCCCCCCCCCTTGCTCCCTGCATATAGCATATGATAAATGCCTATTGCATGCACACACACAAAAGAATTCGTCATAAAAATTGTATTAGATTTCAATTTGTTTCTAATTATGTTTTTTTTTAATTTAATGTTTTTAATTTTGTTTTTTAAATGTATTATAAGACAAGCGTGTGCAAGTAGAGACGACAAGCTATAGCTTATTTACAATACATATTGGCAGGGTTTCTTTCAGACATTTTCTGTGTGAGGCGCGGGGGGGGGGGGGGGTTGAACGCACTTGAAATTTCTTTTAAGGGGCCTTGAAACACCCAGAGGGTTAAGTATATTTTTTCTACATAAATTATATATTTTTTTCTTGCTGGGGAGGGGCGATAAAAGTTCTCAGGCAGGGCCCACCTCCTCCCTAGCACAGAGTGATGCCTGGAAGTCTGGCACTGTATATGTGACCCTAATAACACGTCAAATTACCCCCCCCCTCTCTAAACTCTAAACAAACAATTATCCTATCCAGCCCCCACTCCAATCAATCCAGATTTTCTCAAATTTCTATAACACTGACAGATCTTGGGATCTAGTGGTGGATTAAGGGTTAGCATATAGGCCTACCTCCGTATGTGCAAGGTGTCTAAAGCTAGGCTTTATCTGCCTCGATAATTAAGTTAATTAAATAATACCAGGCGATAAAAGCTGTACAATAGGAAATAGACCAGACCCCCTTCCACCCCCCCCCCCCCCACCTACAGTGAGGTGACTTTGAGAATCGCACTTCTTAGTTCTAAATTGTAATATTTGAGAGGATTCCTTCGAACACAAAAAAAAAAATTAAATGTCAATATGTTATGTGTTATATGGCCCGATGACTCCGATTTCAGCCTGCTTTTCTTTCTTGATTTCGTTAGTTAAATAACTTTTAAATAATAGCAGTTTAATTTTCGAGTTTTCTCCCCCGGATGGGTTGCTTGTATTCTCTTTGGTTCTAAAGATGTGTTCATTTCCTCTCATACGTGTTTTATCTCATAAGTCTAAATTATGCAACATGTGGTTTTTTTTAAATGTTGGTGTTTACATTTTAAAATGAGGAACGGTGTGGTCGAACTTTAGATCCTTCGACTTCTAACACATATATTTTGAGTTTGGATCCCTGGTTCTAGCCCCTGAGTTCAACTAGCTCTTAGTTTTCCGCCCGTTAAGTACTCACTCACACACGAACTCAGCATCTGATTATCTGTAGACTGCTCATTAAAAAAACGTAATGATTTGATTTGTTAGCTCGTGGATATTTTAATTACGTAATTAAAGTTTAAACGGTGCAAGTATTTACGTACACTTCCTTTCGAGTGTCCGGTTTCAAATTTTCTACTTGGTGGGGTGGGGTTAATCAGTGCAGGTGGGTATGGGGTGGGGGAGGGGTGGGGAGTTTTATTATAGAAAGTGAAAGCAGCCTGGCATAGCGCTGACCACATATGATGAGGTCACGTAAGCATGGACTCTCCACTTCGTCTTTATTCGTAATCATTATCCAGACGGTGACCGGAAAGATGCGCAACGATAAACTGCGCAACAGAAAACTGCGCAACGGAAAACTGCGCAACGAAAAGATGCGCAACGGAAAACTGCGCAACGGAAAACTGTGCAACGGAAAACTGCGCAACGG